CAAACCAATTGTGGAAAATACTCTATAGGCATACTTTCTTGTAATCTTTTGTTAAAACTGCAACTTTCTACGAATTACAACAATAATCTACAACTTCGTTGAACTTGAAAGAAAAGTCAAAACTAATTAGAGCGTAGTTTCTCATAATTTTTTATAGATACTAAATGATTCTACAAGAAATCACGAATTTCTTGCCTAGCTCCCGTCGCAAATTATTGAAATTTATTGTAGAAAGTACAACTTTCTACAAAACCTACTTGCTTTGACAATTCTTGCAGACAAACTGAAAATAGAACCAAGTAGAGCTACAACTTGTTACGAGTAAAAACAACATTCTACAACTTGTCTGAACTTGAAAGAACTTGAAAGTCTGAGCTATATTTATTCTCATTTTGTCTCAAAGTCAAATTTTCACTCCCAAATCAAACGTTAGCAGATAGTTGTAAATTTTCGTAAAAATTTGTAATTTGTTTGAACGCTAGTAACGCGCACTGCCGCTACGCGGCAACATGCACCAAATGGGAATCCTTCTCGTAAGAAAAAATTCTCAATACATGTATAACTTATACTCTATTTATAAATCGGTATCCCCGGATCGACGACAAATTCATGTCAATACGAGATCCTTCCAGTGTTAAGTATAAATTTCTTGCAGAAATCGGTAATCCTTTCCCCGATTCTCGCCAAAGTAAATGCCAACCTTTTTTTAATGATATTCTATATAAGATTACATATATAACTTTACATTTTTTTTAACATGAATCGGTAACCCCTTCAGCGATTGACGCCAAATTCAATACCAACCTTCCTTTAATGACACTCTATCCATAAAAACAAATTTCAGCTTAATATCACTGTTAGAGAACTCTTTCCCTCTCTTTCTAATTTTTGTTGAAAGAGAATGGTTGGCTTGAGCTCCTTCCACGCGTTGCTCTCCGGTGTTCTTCTCGGGAACGGCGTGGTCAAGACAATGAGTCTTTTAGTTTAATTATACTTTATTGCTCTTCGACAACACTACTAACAATAACGGAAAAGTCGTTAGGCCTGTGCTGGCCGCGCTTCACGTGCTGCTTGCTTGACTCGTAGCGAGCTTCTGAGCGGATTCGGGGAGGGGAGCTCGGGCCCCATCACGTGATCGCATAGCTTCGACAAGGCAACAGGGACGGATTGCGCCGCGAGTATGCCTGAGGCATTCAACCGCATAATATACTTAACAATCACAAAATTTACGGAAATTAGAGCAATTACGGAGATTTCGATAGAAATCGGTAACCTTTTTTGAAGACTTTGGAGACTTTAGAAAAAAAAGAAAAGATACCTAAATGAGGTCTCCGATTCATTGAAATTTTAATATATACTTCAGAAAATCGGTTAATAAAATAAATGAGTAGTTTTTTTGTTATAAACCAATTTTAATGAAACCAGTACTAAAATTTTTTCAAAAAACAAAGCTAAACTTAAAAAAAATTAAACCCATCGTCATCCTCAAAAAATTAGAATTTTGGAATCGAATCTCAGCGTTTTAGAACATTCTGAACACATTGGCATATCAAGAAAATTGGTTATAAAAAACAGCCCAAATAAATTGCAGAAGCATTTAACTCACATTGAGAGCTTTCAAAAACACTATAATAAAGTATAGGTATTTTCCTTTATTACTTTTCGAGAAATATTCGACGTATTAAGGTGGTTCATGCATGTAGGTCAAATGTAGTTAGCCCGGTTGGACGTCCCTTACGTCGAGGCTGCTCGCTCCAGCTCATATTTCACACTTGTATCGCTTGTACGTACAGGTTATGTAGATCGCGACGACGAAAACTTCTTCTTCTTCTTCTTCTTCTTCTTCTTCTTCTTCTTCTTCTTCT